GAAGACCATAGAAGAACTGATGCTTTTGAGTTGTGGTGTTGGAGGAAAATACTGAAAGTGCCATAAGCTGCCAAAAGAACCAACAGATCTGTGTTGGAAGAAGTGCAACCCGAGTGCTCCTTGGAGGTCAGGATGGCCAAACTTCATCTGTACTTCAGATATGTTGTCAGGAGGAACCAGTCACTGGAGAAGGATATCATGTTTGGTAAGGTTGAGGGTCAGAGAAAAAGAGGAAGACTCCCAACGAGATGGATTGGTCAGGTGACAGCATTGATGGACTCGAGTGTGACAACAGTGTTGAGGTTGGCCAAGGATCAGGCAGTGTTTGTTCTGCTATTCATAGGGTCTCTATGAGTCAGTACCAACACGATGGCACCTAACAACAACAACAACATAGTAAGAGTGGTTACATATGTTGACAGACACATGAAAACATTAAATTCAATAAAATCAAATTTTAGGTGAATATTCTCATGAAACTTCATCATCACATATTATATTTTGTTTATAATATAACAAAATTTACTGAAAGTATGGGTAAAACTGATGTAATCACTGGGCTATTAACCAAAAGCATGGAGACTCAAATCCACTCATCTTAAACCCCCTGCTGAGTAACCATGAGTTGGTTAAAAAAGCAATGAATAAACTGCATGCAAAGTCTTTGCCTGTTATTTTGTAATACCTGACAATTCTAAGATGAATCAAAAGACATATAATTAAAACCCACATTCTTCCCATGTAAGGAAAAGTGCAAGTTAAACTAATTTGACAGAGTTGGAAAAGGTGGTTATACAACTCTAAGGACGAAGAAATAGCAGGTCTGTCCATATTGAACACAATGAGAATTGAGCAGAGAAGACCATAAAACATGCTTGATAAAATATACGGAATGCAGATTAAGGATCAAGACCAATTAATTAGCCTTAGGGGAAAAAATATTGCTGAGCTTGCATTTTTGCAATATATTAACTATGTTTATGAACATTGTTTATATTCACACATTTCAACTGGAGTTCCATGCCTAATATTAGATATGAGTTCTTTGATACAATTGGTTAGTTAGAGATGAATGGGTGTAGATAAAAAGGAAAGATTAGAATCCAAGTGGAAATGATGATGGGTCCGCATGTACAAGGTATGTAAGATCAAGGTGAGTAGAAAGAGGTAAAGAGAGACAACATGCTGCTGGTCTTGTAGGGACAAAGTACCAATAATCCTGAATTTTACCTTCTGAAATGTTGGACAAGCAGGATTTATACTACCCTGGGATCAGAATGGAGTCCTGGATGTGTAGTGGTTTAGTCATTGGGCTGATGATCAGATTGACAATTAATGTGTTGGCTAATGAGGAGCTTTGGATATTGAACCTCCAGGGATTAAGAGACTGCAAATAGTGTGCCTGTGGTATCTCACTTTGGAATCCTTCCCTTATAAGGAGTTATAACAGAAGACCCTTTTCTAAGAGATGAGATTTTTTGCCCAGAAACCTTATGCTTCACTGAGACCCTCAGTCCTGGCTGAGTACAGACCTTCTATACTCTAAATCCAGCACATATTATCAGGAATCATTCCACAGAAATGTCAGCAAGGTAACCTAAAACCTCTAGTTAATATTTTGAAATGGCAATATTTTCTTCTTCTTTTTTTTTTACTACAGTTACAACAACAACAACAGTTACAACTGAAGAATGATGTATATGAAGAAAGTACTTGTGACAAATGATGGAACTAAGTGTCCTGTGGGAATTTTACTCGTCTGTCAATTTCTTGCTAGATTTCCTTATATACTTGCCACTATATTAAAGAAATGTTAATCAGCTAGTCTCTTGTACCGGCTCTACAATTGCAAAGATGATTTTCCAATTGAGTAATAACCTTACAAACATGACTTTTATTAGATTCTCTGGCATTTAAAGACATTAGTTAGATGATGGTGGAGGAGAATTTTTTGGTTTCATTTTATAATCTACGAGGATGAGTAAAACATTGTTTGCACTCTGACTTTAGAATTTATTTTTAATCAACTTTTAGGAAAGACAAATATATTATTATTCTACATGATCTCCTTTCTTTTCAGTACACTATGCCCATCTGTCAACAGCTTTCCTAGTCCCTTATATTAAAATCTTTTAGGCTGAGCTGCAGCCATGACTGCACTGCTCTCTTCACTTCGTCATTAGAAGTGAATCTTCATCTTTGAAGGGCTGCTTTCACAGTATCAAACATTTGAAAGGCCGATGGAGCAAGATCAGGACCATGGATAGGTGCTTTGAGATTTCAAAATGAGGCTTTTATAGAGTGTCAAGAGTGTGGACAGAAGTGTGAGGATGAGTACTGTCATGCAAGATCACAAAGCCCTAGGAGAGCAGTTCTCTGCTTTAATTAGAAGTTTAGGCTTCAGCTCTACCTTGAGAATCTCATTGTAAGGAGCACTGCTTATTGTTAATCCTTTGTTCCTGCAGTGTTCCAACACTGGTCCTCGTTCTTTTAGTCTCTGTTAGGTGCCATCGAGTGACCTTTTGAGAAACACAACAAAACACTGCCCAGTTCTGCCCCATCCTCATATTTGTTAGTACCCTTGAGCCCATTGCTGCTGCACTGTCCAAATCCACTTAGTTGGGAGTCTTCTTTTTTGCTGACCTTCCATATTACCAAGCATGCTGTCTTTCTCGAGGGATTGGTCACTCCTGATAATACATCTGAAGTATGAGAGATGAAGTCTGGTTATCCTGATTTCTAAGGAGCATGCTTGCTATACTTCTTCCTGCATAGAGTTGTCTGTTCTTTTAGCAGTCCCTTTAGAGTCCAAGAAAAATGCAAGCGTCTGTTTTGCCAGCTGATGGTTGAATTTTGAACATTTCCTTGGTAGACAATCGAGGATATTTATATTCCATACTCTGTCATTTAGTCTCAGACTTATAGTCATGAATCCATATCTCATCACCAGTAACAACTTTTTTTTAAACGAACTTTTACTTTCATTTGAAGATAAGCTTAGATTATCATGATGAATTTTGTTTGTAGATTGCCATGTTCACACCTTCACAACAGTGATCTTGAAAATAAAGTGCTGATAAAAGAGCATAACTAATCGTATTTTTAACGTAACTAGAGTATGGATACATTTGTATTCACCCTGGTAGTTGGTAGTAGATATGTGTGTTATCTGTATTGTGTAACTCTGCTGTCTGTGCAAAGCATGGAATCCCAGCCTGAGCCATAAAGATTCTTCCTGAGTCTGTTGATATTTATAAAATTTCTACATATTTTATATAATCATAAAAACTCATATGTTGTAAATTAAAAATTAACTTTGCCAATGTTTCCCTGAATAAATAAGTCTTGGGAATATGCTATATATTCTTCAGTAATTTTCCCTTTTTTAAATAGCAAAAGAATATTCGTGGAGAAGACAAAACTTTTTCATTCCCTATATTATTTTTCTACCTTATCAAGAGACAATATATGCCTTCAGTGCTGCTGTTGGGCTGCTAATATGGAGACCACACATTTAATTATTTTGTCACCCCATCTTTCTACTAGATTCATCAACAATATAGAAACCAGAAACCAAACAATTATTTCAGAATTCATTCTATTGGGAATGTCAGAGGATCAAGAACTGCAGCCCCTCATATTTAGCCTGTTTCTGATCATGTACCTGGTCACAATCATTGGGAATCTGCTCATAGTCCTGGCTGTCAGCTCTGACTCCAACCTGCACAACCCCATGTACTTGTTTCTCTCCAATCTATCTTTTAATGATATCTGTTTGAGCACAACTACCATCCCAAAGATGCTCGTGAACATACAGACACAGAATAACAGAATCACTTACATAGGTTGTCTCACCCAGATTTTCTTCATCTCATCTTTTACTGGTTTTGAAAATTTTATTCTTGCTGTAATGGCCTATGACCGCTATGTGGCTATTTGTCACCCATTGAGGTATACAGTCATCATGAACTCCTACTTCTGTGGACTACTGATTCTACTTTCTTTGTCCACTAGTATGATGAATGCCCTGCTCCACAGTCTGATGGTTTTGCATCTGTCCTTCTGCACAGACCTAGAAATCCCTCAATTCTTCTGTGAACTTATTCAGGTCTTTAATATTGCCTGTTCCAGTACTCTCATCAATAATATTCTGATATACTTAATGGGTTGCATACTGGCTGGTATCCCTGTATCTGGCATCATATTCTCATACATTCGCATCATCTCCTCTGTTTTGAGAATGTCATCAGCTGGGGGAAAGTACAAAGCTTTTTCCACCTGTGGATCTCATCTTTCAATTGTTTCTTTATTCTATGGGACTTCTATAGGTGTGTACTTCAGTTCACCATTTTTAAACTCTCCCAAGAAGACAGCAGCTGTTTCAGTGATGTACATTGTGTTCCCCCAAATGATGAATCCTTTTATTTATAGTCTGAGGAATAGAGATATAAAGGTAAGTTTGAAGAAATTCTTTAGTAGAATACATTGCTTTTAGTGATTGTGTCAATTTTTTTTTCAATTCATTGATTATTAAGACCTATCACTGACAAACACTTTCTGCACACCAGTATCAGCATCAACCACAATTTTATCATTTGTCAAATGAGATAATTGCATTTTCTCATTGTATTTTCTCATTGATTGAATGGTTGTGAGAGTTTTGAATAGCAACAACTGAAACTGTTGATTATAATTAAAAAGGATAATAATTAAAAGAATCTCAGACACAAACATGCTCAAAATATAGGAGGCAATGATGCCT